GTGGATTGAACTGAGAGGAGGCCCATTAATTCATCCACGCAGAGTCCTTGTCTGAGAATTATTGGGGGGTGGTCTGCTTTGCCCTAGAGCTAGGGAGGAAGGACACTGGCCTCCCTGGCCCCATCGCCTCCCCCTATGTCAGGGCCCTGAGCTCTGGAGGGTCCAGAGCAAAGCTTGCTCCTCCCACAGGTCCATCCGCATGACCCGCCACCTGTCTGAATCTTCCTATCTTGCCACATCCACGCTGCTAAGCCGCTTGCCACAGTCCTCGAGATCCTGTACGTCCTCCCCAGGTGTGCAAACACTGCCCATTGGGACCACTATCCTTACTCAGGGCCACCCCAGAGTCGGGTGGAAGGGCAGCGGCAGTCTGTGTTGGTTCTGTAACCGCACACGGAGCTGACTCACCTGGGAGCCACCTTGGACTTTTTCCCCCTCCACCAGCTGGTCATCGGGACCCGCCCCAGGTTATAGGGGTCAGCTGAGGAGGAAGCATCAGTTGGTGGACAAGGGGGTCTGTTTCACCGGCGCACGCAGCTCACTTGCACCCTGGACTACCCGTGCCCGACCCGGATGTACCACGCCCAGTCCATGAAGGATGGCTGCTGGGCCCTGCTCCGCCCTGTGACTTAGTGGGTCTGACAATCCCCGGCTCTTGGCAGTACTGACCGAATGATCATTCGATTCCCCTGATCACTCAGTCTCTGCAAGAGCCCGGTATCAGACCGGGATCTGCCTTTCACATGGTGTAGAGCTCTCTGCTGGGCTGGCATGCCTCGCTCCAGAACCCTGGTGGTCAACATCGTGTTATTTTTTTAGGGGAGCATCATAACATGGTTCTTTTTCCCACCACAGACACCCCCGGCCCTGTGGGATCTGCTGGGCCACATGGCCTGGGAGGCAGCGCTGCTCATTTGCAGCCTAGAGCTGCTGCTTGGTCCTTTCCTACTCTGGGCACCACTCAGAGCCAGCAGCCTTTCCTGCCCTGGCTAAGTGGGTGAGAGAACTGTTCCTAAGTGCAGAATATGCTGCTTCTAGAACCTAAAGAGGCGCACCAAGCACTGTGCTTCTTAGTGACAGAGAGACAACTTGTCTTTTTTTTTTGGAGGGTGTGATGGCTCATGTCATGTGTTCACTTGGCCACGGTACCCAGGTATTTGGTCAAACACTATTCAAGATGTTTCCATGGAGGTATTTTTTAGATGATATTAACATTTAAAGAAGTACTTTTTTAACGAAGCAGATATACAATGTGGGTGGGCCTCGTCTAATCAGTTGAAAGCCTTTATAGGAAAAAGACTGATCTCCTTGAAGAAAAGGGAATTCTGCCAGCAGACTGCCTTTGGACCTGACTTTTAACTCTTCCTTGGGTCTCCAGCCTGCCAGCCTGTCCTGCAGAGTTTGGACTTGCCAGCCTCCATAATCAGGTGAGCCAATTTATTAAATCTCTCTCTATTTCAATTAATTAATCTCTCTCTCTCTCTCTCTCTCTCTATATATATATATAGGTATTTTCTCTCTCTCACTACACACACACACAGAGACTCATGCAGGGATACGTTCTGAGAAATGCATGGTTAGGTGATTTTGTCATCACGCGAACATCACAGAGTGTATTTACACACACCTAGATGGTATAACCTACCACGCACCTAGGCTATGTGGCATAGCCTGTTGCTCCTAGGCAACAAACCTACACAGCATATTACTGTACTGGATACTCTAGGCAAGTATAACACAGCGGTATTTGTATATCTAAACATAGAAAAAGTACAGGAAAAATATGGTATAAAAGATAAAAAATGGTGCACCTGTATAGGGCACCTGCCATGAATGGAGCTTGCGGGACTGGAAGTGGCTCTGGGTGAGTCAGGGAGTGCGTGGTGAGTGGATGTGAGGGCCTCGGACACTGCTGTACACTAGACTTTATAAACACTGCACACTTAAGCTACACTACATTTATTTTAAAAATAAAGTAATTGCACTACAAAGTTAAAACAGCTATGATGTCAGTGGGCAATAGGAATTTTTCAGCTCTGAATTATAATTTTATGGGACCACTGTTGTACTGGCAGTGAGGGTGACCAGAACATCATTATGTGGCATAGGACTGTGTATTTAAAGTTAGCACTATTAGCCAATCCCTGCAAACTCCTTCCTCAGCAGGCCCAGAACCTCCTCCATCAGGCCAAGCTGGGTTTAACCCTAGTTGCTGGATTCTGGCTGAGAGGGGAGGTGGGGGCAGATCCTGAGGAGGACAAGAATCATCTTATAAGGAACCTGCCTCCTTTGAGGCTCCTGCGTACTCTCCAAATGATGGTGGTGGGATGGTGAGCACTAGCCTCTGGGGATGGGCGACCCCTTTTGCAGGCCCAGAGCATTTCCGGGAATCTGGAGATTCAAAATTCTCAGCATATGTACCCAGATACCACCCTGAGTCTCAAGGCCCCACTCCTTCCCGTCCTGGACGCAGTGGTTTAGGACACCTTTCAGGGGTGAGAGATCAATCGTCTCTGAAGTTCTGGTAATCTTACGATTAGATCCTGAGCCTAGTTTTCAGCAGGTTCTGCCCTGTGGCTTGAGTTGATGGTTTCTTTAACTGTTGCCAACAAGGAAGGGCCTCTGGATTTCCAGCTTTGCTTTGCACTGGTGGCTGATTACCCTGAGCTGGCCATTTTCTCTCTTCAAAGCATCAGTGACGCTCAGCGAGAGCCACCCAATTCCACAGTACCTGGAACCTCTATTCCCTGTTCTCAAACACCGGAGATCGCATGAACCAGTCACTGCCTTCCACCTGTACCTGGGCCAAGTTCACTGTAGGTGACAGTCTTATTGATTGCACTGTCACCGCATGCTGGAGACTATCAATACCCCACCTAGCTTCAATGATACCAGCTGGCTGCTGTCGTGGAAGCATTATGACTTCCTGGACCTTAGGCATTTTTGCCTTAGTGAATTCCTTTATTCATTAAAAAATATTAAAAAATTGTATTTTACTAGAGGGAAGAGGGTACGGAGAGTTATCATTTAATGGGTATAGAGTTTTGGTTTTGCAAGATAAAAACGTTCGGGAGATGGATGGCAGTGATGGTTGCACGACATTGTGAATGTACTTAATATTACCGAACTGTAACTTAAAAATGGTTAAGATGGTAAATTTTATGTTACATGTATTGAACAATTAAAAATTTTTAAAATTATATTTGGCAACGGCATTGATATAAAGACAAATGTATTAATATCATATATTAAAACATTTTCTTGGGGTTCGATTCCCCAATGGGCAAAATTAAAAACAAATTTTCTTCAACCTAAAAGTTTATTTTTTTCCCTTCTGACTTTGAAATTAGAATATTTTTCTGGGCTCCTAAAAGTATTGTGGGCCACCACGTCTCCTGTGCCTGAGGGATGAATTGGCTGTGGGTGGGTGCACAGCCCAGCAAAGGGCACCTGGGTGGGGCACCAACAGTCCGCTGCAATCATATTCCTGACCATAAAGGAAAACTTTAATGACTAACCCTTCACAACATCATCAAAAAACAATCTGGGGCCAGGTGCAGTGGCTCACTGGAATCCCAGTGCTTTGGGAGGCGGAGGGCGGAGGATCACTTGAGGCCAGGAGCTCGATTACAGTGAGCTATGATTGCACCACTGCACTCCGGCCTGGGTGACAGAGTGAGACTCTATCTCTAAAAAATAAAAATAAGGAAAAAATAAACAATTTGGAATTACATTAAATTGATTTTTTAACTTGGGGAGCATGTATATATTTAAACAGTTGGAAATCGGGACTATAGATGCTGGTCTCCTTCTTCAGGTTTTATGTCTTTCAGTAGAGTTTCATAATTTCCTTCATTTACATCTTGCATATTTCATACTAGATCTGTTGTGAGGTTTTGTATCGTGTGCATCACTCTTGTGAATGGGAACCTTTCTCTATTACGTTTTCTGAACGATTGCTGGCATTAGTTTTTGTGCTTCACTCTACACTCAGCCATCTTATGAAGCTCTTATGAATTCTAATAGTCTTCAGTAGAATCTTTTAGATTTTTCTAAATGTATCTTCAGATAACTAGAAGCATTTACATCTTTTTTATCTTATTACATTAGCTAGAACTTCCAAAATAATATTGAACAGCAGTGGTGATATCATGGACTAAGGGTACTTGGGTCCATGGAACGCTGCTCCATGGATCTAGCCTACAGTCCTGTCCAGAACCCCATTGTTTTAATTACATTTAAATACTGGTAGTTAACCACCCCACTACAATTAATCTTGTCTCTCAAAATTTTGTTGACTACTCTGCCCTCATTTTGCTCCTTACCTCCGTGGACGTGCCTTTGAAATTTCACTGTTTAATACGATGTTTGCTAAACAGAACATAGTCATGTTCCGTAAGTTTATTTCTATTTTGCTTCGAGTTTTTCTGGGAATGGCTGCTGAGTTTTAGCAAATGGCTTTTCTCCTTCGATTTACTAATTTTAATGAATGGGAGTGAAAAGGCGCCTCCACCGGGGACGGGACGAGGAGGGCCTCTCCGGGGTGGTGGTGGGACCGGGTACACACATCAGGCTACAGTCTGCGTTCAAACAGCGGACCCTCCAGGGCTGGGGGAGAGGAGGTGAGGAGCCGCCTCACAGCCCCGCCGTGGGTGCCCTTCACCCCGAGGAGGAGATGCGCAAACGGCAAAGGCCGGCTGAAGGTCCTTGTCCCCTTTCACCTCAGGACTTGAAGGCATCCGTGAGCGGCTGCCATTGAGTGAGCCGCCGCTGCAGCCGTACCGCGCGGTCACGAGCCCGGTTTTCAGACGAGGACACTGAGGCTGGAGAGGCCCGGGCGCCCCGCCCCCTGCGCCTCCGGAGCCGGCAGTCCCGGGCACGTCCAGCAGGTGGGGGTGAGCTCCGCACGAGCGGCCCCTCCCCCAGCCCTCCCAGCCCCGTCGCGGGTCCCGCCCGCCGGGGAGGGCCGGTCCCGGCGCCCACCCTCGCCAGCCGGCCGGCGGCAGAGCTGGACGTCGCTGCCTGGCCATGGCGGCGGGCGCGCTGCTGCTGCTGGCGCTGGCGCTGGGGGCGCCGCGGGCGGCCGGCGCGGGCATGGGCGCGTGCTACGACGGCGCGGGGCGCCCGCAGCGCTGCCTGCCGGAGTTCGAGAACGCGGCGTTCGGCCGGCGCGCCGAGGCGTCGCACACGTGCGGCAGCCCGCCCGAGGACTTCTGCCCGCACGTGGGCGCGGCGGGCCCGGGGGCGCAGTGCCTGCGCTGCGACGCCGCCGACCCCGCACGCCACCACAACGCCTCCTACCTCACCGACTTCCACAGCCAGGACGAGAGCACCTGGTGGCAGAGCCCGTCCATGGCCTTCGGCGTGCAGTACCCCACCTCGGTCAACATCACGCTCCGCCTGGGTAAGCGCGGGCTCGGGTGCCGCCGCCGCCGCAAGCCCTGTCCCCACCCACTGGGGGCCCCAAGCAGAGGCCTGAGCTGCCGCGCGCTCCCTGGGGTGGGCTGTGGGATCCAGATGTGGGGGCCTCAGGAACAGGACTGTACCCCCTTGTGGAAGAATAGACTGAGGGGTGCCCCTTGGGGCTGGAAGGGGCGGGAAGCCTCCTGGGAGCCCTTGGCAGAGCCGGGATCTGGGCGCAGTTAAAATCGCCTGCAATGATTTTCCATCCCCTCGACTGTGGGGGCGGTTACGCACCGGGGAGTGGACTAGTCCACTCACTCGGGCAGGGGCTCCTGACCTCGGGTGGGTCCTCTGGTGGTCTTCAGGGGGCCCAGTGGACCCCTGAGGCTGCGTGCAGTCCTGGGGCGTGTTCTGGAGAGTCGGCGCTGAGAAGTTCGTCACTGAGCAGGAAAAGTTTAGCCCTCTGGGCGGGAGGACCAAGTTAGGTAGCTGTTCCAGACCGCGCGGCCACCTCTCTGCCCTGCCCAGGAATCCTTCCTTCCCACCCCCTGCCAAGGTGCAGGAGCCTGAGCTCCCTGGGAATCAGAATCCGGAGTCCGGACCCAGCCCTCCACCGTGGGCAACTGGGGTGCTCCCCGCCCCATTGCAGCACAGTGCCAGCGCCTCTCCTGCTGCCGCCTCCATCCACAGCCCCGGGGGTGGGGGTGGGGGGTCACTGGTCACACTCCCTTAACCTGCCACAGGTCAAAATCTCCCAAGGCTTTGAAAACTCAAAGTACTTTTACAACTCATTTTTGAGTGCTAAACCTGACTTGAGGCTATTTATAGGCTTAGTTTATCCTAGTGAAAATGAGTATTCATACGTTTTGCTGCTGAAATCTCATCTGAGTACAGCCTGCAGCCCCAGGCCCCACTGGGGGTGTTAACACAACATGTGGTATAAGGCCTGCATCATCTTTCTAAACTGTGTGAAGTTCTGATTCCAGAACACGTCTGGAGCCTAGGAGTTTGCATAAGGGATGATGCGATTGTGTCCTCATGTTTCAGATGAGAAAATTGAGGCTCAGAGAGGTTAAGTGTTTTGCCCAAAGGCCCACAGCTGCTAAATGGCAGTCTAGACACGGACATGAGTTCCACCATCCGTCAAATGTGTTGGCTCCTCCCAGGCCTGGGTGACAGCACCCTGGGAAGGGCTGGAAATGACACTGGAGGGGGAGTGGGGAGGATAATGAGCCCCCTCCTGCCTGCTGCCACCCCGAGAAGCTCAGTTCCTCAGGGCCATGTCACCTTCTCTTGGCCTATCTGGACCACAAGATGGGGCTTCTGGGTGGGGTGAGGTCTCCACCCAGGCAAGGGGGAGGGACAGGAAGCCAGTGGGGAGGGGAGAGGCTGGGGGAGCTGTCTGGATGGGGCTGGCAGGACCCCAAGGCCACAGGGGAAGGAATCTGGGACAGGGTGGGGGGTTGTGGGGGAGACACACTGTTCCATAACAGAATGTCACGTGTGTCAGTGGAACCCAGGGGCCCAGGAAAGGGACTCAGCCAGGCACAAGCAAGGTGGGAGGGGGTGGAGGAAATGTCCAAGTTTTGGGATTTGGGACAGTTCCCATTCACTGAGCGCTTACTGTGTGCCAGGTCCTGTGTTTGAGCTGTGCAAACTGGTCGAACGCTGCGTGGAGCCCTTAGAAGCAGGGTGGTTGTGATCCTTCTATAAGCAAGGAACCCGAGGCGTGTGCTTTACCCCTGGCCATCGTTCTTTCCGTTATGTCGTATGGTGCCAGGCACATAGGAGGGAGTCCGGAAGTGTTTGCACAATAAGCAGAGAAGGAACAAATGAATGAATGATGGTGTCACCTCCTCCATCCTGTGCTCTGGGTCCAGCTCAGAGTTCTCTTTTGCCTGCTCTGGGAGGCAGAATGGGGTAGAAATCACAAAAGGGGGCTTTGGACTCAGGCCCAGCAGAGCCACTCACTGGGCAAGCGATGTCACCTCTCTCTGCCTCGGTTTCCTCATCTGTACAATGAGAATAAGAGTCACCACTTCCTGGGGTGGTTGTGTGTGTTCAATGAGCTCACATCAGAGCTGTGACAGTCCTTGTGTGTGACTAGCATGTGTGTGTGTACACTCTGCTGAGGACAGCTCAGGGCTGAGGCTCGCCTGTGGTCGGGTTCTACCGTGGGGATTGAGAAATGCTCTCCTTGGCCAACCCTGCTCCCAAAAGGCATCTGACCCAGGGCCCTGTTTACGCACGAGAGGTGCTAGGGGCTCACGGCAGTCACAGATTTGGCCCCTTTTTGGTTTCCTGTGACCTAGGTTTGCTCTGGGCTAAGCCATGGCTTGCATAATATTGGGGGAAGGCGTGGTCTGGGACTGTCCCCGGTGGAGGCCCTGATTGCCTGAGGTGGGCCAGGGAGCCCCTCCTCTTGGTCCTCAGGCCACCTCTGCTGGCTCTGTTCCCCTCCCTCCCTCGAAGGCTCGTGGGAGGGGAGAGTGGGTGGCTGGCTCTGGCCCCAGGTCCCCTAGAGGGAGTGAGGTGAGGGGCAGGGGGGAGATGGAGGTCCCGGGATGGAGGTCGCTGCTTTCCCAGCCCCCTGCCGCTCCCGGACATCTGTTCCAGATCCTCCCGGCGTGGAGCCGAGCCTTCCTGTCTGGGATGAAAGGCAGCAGCGGGGCCTGGCAGTTCCCAGCCCTCCACCAAGGCCTGGGGAAGCTCTGGACTGGGTCCTGGGGGTGGGGGAGTGTGGGGGCAGTGGACGGTTGTCAGGGTAACAGGGGGTTGTGGGGAGAGTGGGGCAGTGGACGGTCATCGGGGTAACAGACTGTTCACTATGTGCCAAGCACTCGTTGAGTCGCTTGCCAACCTGGCATGGTTGGTTCTTTTACAGACAGGGAAACTGAGGCTCTAAGGATGAGATTGGTTGCCTAGGGTCACACAGGCCAATAAATGGTGGCCCCTGGGGACCCTCCCCTCACTGTGCTTCACTTGGAAATGGACAGCGTCCAGGCAGGCTGGTGCACATGCTTCAGGCGTGGGGAGAACCCAGTCTGAGCTGTGGCTCTGGCGGGGTTGGGGGCGTCCTTCCTTCCTGCTTGCACACTTTCCTGGATTGCTGGGACTCTCCTGGGACCCAGGTGGCTCTGAGCCCTGGAGCCGAGGGTGCCGCTGCAGATGGGCTCCTGCCGCCCCACCTGCCACCCTCACGTCCGGGTTTCTTCATGTGCTCATCCCCCCCGGCTCGTTGGCCTTGGGGCCGTGGCTGTGAGCAACACCACGTGCGGTCCCTGCCCTGCCGGGCTCGAGGACCCCAGCAGGCAGCGTGTACCAAGGAATGCCGTGGATGAGGGTTCGTGCGCTGAGAACGCGCGCTGGGGTGCACAAGCCTCTCTGAGACCTGAAGTGTGGTAGGAGCTGTCCAGAGAGGGAGGGACGTTCAGGCTGGGGGATGAGGGGACAGCACGGGAAGGCAGGAGGCAGCGTGGTGTGTTCTGGGCCTCGCTGGGCCTGGATGGCCCCAGTGCAGGGACTGAGACGACCATGGGGCCTGGCCAGCCACAGCGAGGAGCTGGGCCCAGCAGGGGCTGGACATCAGTCAGGGGGACCGTGGCCCCCAAAGGGCCTTGAAGCCATCTGGGCTCTATCACGTCTTCCTGCCGAGTGGGCGGCCTTGTTTGCCTTGGCTGGGGCCAGCACTGGGGGCCAAGTCCTCCTTCCTTCTCCCTGGGGTTCTGGCTGGAACGGTGGGCCCAGGCAGGTCAGGGGGTCAAGGCAGTGGCCCTGGCTACCCTCCATCCACCCACAGATTTGGCCCCCCAAGGCCTTGGCCCCCTCGCCCACCTGCGTGGGCCTCCGAGGACTAATCCAGGAGTGGCAGGGGTGGGAAGTGCCAGAGCCCAGGAGGGGTGTAGGCAGCCTCCCGGGGCCTCCCAGCACCCAGATCGTCCCTGTCCACCTCCCCCTCTGGCTGCTGCCAGCTGCCCTGCAGCAGGGCCGTCAAGTAGCCACGATGGGCGCTCTTTCTGCCAGATCTTTGCATATGCTGTCACTTCCGCCTGGCACGTTTTCCCTTCCTACCTTCTGCTAACCCGTGTCTCATTCATAAACAAAATGACTGTGCGCCCACAGCGTGTGGTCCCTGTGCTGAGCCCTGGGTATGTGGCAGTGGACAGGTACCCGTCCAGCCCGCTCAGCTCAGAGGTGACCTCCTCCAGGGTGGGGCAGGGGCTTGCCTGTGCATTCTGGCCGCCCCTCGCCCTCCCCCGCAGTCTGGATCACACTGTGCTGAGATTTGGTTTGTTTGTGTGCGTCCCCAGCTCCGAGCTGCTGGAGCGAATGTCCGTTTCGCAGCTGTACCCCTCGCTCGGCACTGGCCCACTGTGCGGGCCGCGGGTAAATGTCAGTTGGGGAGTGAACAGAACAGCAGCTCCAATTTAGTCGTGTGCGTGCTCCGTGCCTGGGACTGTTCTAAGTGCTTCACAGGCATTTGCTTGTTTAGCTCTGTTGTGGTTGCATGCATTTTGCAAACGGGGAAACTGAGGCGCTCCACTGAAGTCACTTGCCCGGTTAAGCCAGGGAGGTCGTGTATTTTGCCCGAGGCCACAGGGTCAGAAAGCAGTGGAGCTGGGCTGTGAAGCCCGGCATGTCCCGGCCACACCACACCTCCTCACTGGGAGCACGGAGCCAGTGGGGATGCGTGGTTCAGCCCTCCCTGGCCGCGCAGACGCGTACTGGACGGCTAAACCGTGGCATCTTCAGCAGCAACAGCCTCCCTCCCCTGCGCGCCTTCCCTCCCGGCCAGCCCTCGCCTGCAGTGGTGCCCACACCCATCTCATGTTTTGGCTTTGCCTGTCGGAATTGTGGTCGGCATTCAGGGCTCCACGTGCACCGCCCTGGCCCAGCCTCCCACCTGTGCCTTTGACTGGGTAGTCTGAGCAGTCTCCTGAGCTTAGCCAGCTCTGCATGTCAGACGAGGGCCCCCACGCTCGGGGTCCGGAAGAAAGGCAC